GTTTTAGGGTGTTTTTGGGCTGGTTTGGGGTGTTTTAGTGGTGTTTGTTTTGGGGTGGTTTTGGGGTGGTTTTGGAATATTTTTAAGGTGTTTTTGGGGTGTTATGCAGTGTTTGTTTTAGAGTGGTTTTGGGGTGTTTTAGCGGTGTTTGTTTTGGGGTGGTTTGCGGTGTTTTTAAGGTGTTTTTGGGGTGTTTTTGGGGTGTTTCTGGGCGGATTTTGGTGTTCCACTGGTGAGGTTGGGGCGTGGCCATTTCCACGCTCCCAATGGCGGGGGCGTGGCCGGGTTGGGTGTGTCCCTTTCTTGCTCTGGACCACGCCCATCAGGGTGTGGCAGGTGGGCGTGGCCCAGGTGGGCGTTGCCCGTGTTGACCCTGCCCCTTTCGGCAGGGCGTGACCTACCCCGCCTGTCACGGCATCTGGAGCAAGTGGGCGCCGCCCCTGGAGCGGAGCCGCCTGGCCACCACAGCTTTCTGCGGTACCGGGGGCTACCGGGGGGCTCAGGGGGGCTGCGGGGGCCCCCAGGGCGTCCCCGGTGACCGCCGTGCCCCGGCAGGCTCATACGCCGGGGCGGTGGTGGCCATGCCGCTGGCCGGGGTCCTGGTGCAGTACACAGGCTGGAGCTCCGTGTTCTACGTCTACGGTGAGAGCCCCTGGGACCCTCCAGGACCCCTTGGGACCAGCAGGACCCTTATGGGACCCCCGGGACACCCCTGGGACCCCTGAAACCCCCAGGACCCTCACAGGACCACTGGGACCCCCTCGCAACCACCGAGACACCCCCAAGCCCCACAGGGACCCCCAGGATGCCCCCAGGACCCCTCCCATTGCCCCCAGTGACCTCTCCCAGTGCCCCTCCCAGTGCCCCCAGTGCTCCCAGTGCCCCTCCCAGTAACCCCAGCCCTCCAGGCAGTTTCGGGGTGTTCTGGTACCTGTTCTGGGTGCTGGTGTCCTACGAGAGCCCCGCGCAGCACCCGACGATCTCGGCCGAGGAGCGCAAGTACATCGAGGAGAGCATCGGCGAGAGTGCGGGCAGCAACCCGCTGCTGGTCAGACTGGGAGCACTGGGAATGGCACTGGGAGGGCTGGGAATGGCACTGGGAGTGTTCGGATGAGCACTGGGAGTACTGGGACAGACACTGGGAGTACTGGGACAGACACTGGGAGTCACTGGGATGGGCATGGCAGTCACTGGGAGCACTGGAGGGTCACTGGAAGCAGTGGGGTCACTGGGGGATCTCTGGGACCACTGGAAGGCCGCTGTGGCCACCACCCTTGGGGCCACCGTGGCCTCCAGCACAGTCCGGCTGCTCCATCCCATGGGAAGTGGGGCTGGAGCGGGGCCGGGGGTGGCATGGGGGTCACCGCCGCCGGTCAGTGGGGTCAGTGGGGTCAGTGTGGTCAGTGGCCACTCCCCACCCGCAGCTGGCCACACCCTGGCGCCACTTCTTCACCTCGATGCCCGTCTACGCCATCATCGTGGCCAACTTCTGCCGCAGCTGGACCTTCTACCTGCTGCTCATCAGCCAGCCCGCCTACTTCGAGGAGGTCTTCGGCTTCGAGATCAGCAAGGTTGGGCCCAAAATCCCCACAAAACACTCCTAAAAACCCCACCAAAAAAAAAAAAATCTCAAAAACCCCACAGAAAACACTGCACAAAACACCCCAAAACCCACAGAAAGCCACACAAAAAAACCCAAAAAGCCCCAAAACTGCCCCAAACCGCCCCGAACCCCCGGCCCCGCAGGTGGGGCTGCTGTCGGCGCTGCCACACCTGGTGATGACCATCGTGGTGCCCATCGGCGGCCAGATCGCCGACCTGCTGCGCTCGCGGGGGCTAATGTCCACCACCAACGTCCGCAAGATGATGAACTGCGGCGGTCAGCACGGGACAGGGGACACGGGGGGACAGCG